TTGCCCTTTGTCATTAGCAAAAAAACTGAACATTTAGTCTAAATATGCAAGTATATCTTCTTCATGAGCTAACACTTCAAATAGGTCATCCAAATTGTGAACATAGTCCATTACTTCACCCATCTAAATAGGTAAGCAAATACTTGCCATAAAGACCAATAGTTCGATAACTTCCATCGTCATAATCTATTTAGAATATTTAGCTCATGAACACAACATAATAATGCATAAACCATACTAAGCATAAAGTAAACATAGTAGCAACATTAACACAAATTGCTACATAGTCTTAAACACATAAAACAACTTAGGACATAATACATAAGTCTTAAGCAAATACCACATAGCTTGTGATATAAATAAACAAACCAACGTATGACATATTTTTGATATAAACATAAAACTAATCAAAGTACTACATGAGATACATGCATACTCCTCTAACATGAAGGGCCTGGAGGAGGTGGATGTCCTTGAAAATATGCATTGAGCTTCAGATCCAAGTTATCCAACTTCTCGTTTATCTCTTCTTGATTTCTCAAAGTGCATGAGTTCTTAGTATATAGTGCTTGTTGTCCAGTCTCTAACTCAAGTATACGAGCAGATATGGTATTATATTGAGCATCTGAAGAGGATGAGGGATCAGTTTGCATTGGAGGTGGTATGTGACTTGAGGAGGAGCCTTCTTGATGAGATGATTGTGGAATTTCTTGTGGATTTGTTCTTGAGGAGGGTGAGGCTCATCTTGGGGGTTTTGGTCATAAAGTTTAAAGTTTGTTAACTTCATCCTAGCGAGGGCATTGGAATCAAATAATTTAATGGAACGAACTACAGAGTTTTCAGAGTCAAGTTCAACATGAAATTTTTCAAAAATTTTGGTTAAAAATGCACCATAAGGAAGAAATCCTCTTGGTATAACTAAGAGATTCAAATAGAAAACCTCAGCCCAATTCACTTGTATTTTTGCCATTATAGCATATAGGGCCTTGGGTAAATCTAGTGAGATGAAATGAAAACTCCCGATACTTGGATACAAATTATAAGCAAGGATACAAGCGATAAACCTAGGAATGTGTCTAAGTTTGTTTGAATGATTTAGAAGTTTTCCTTGTACGAGAAGAAAGATATGATTCGAAAGCAAGTTTTCATCCAACATTTTGACACTACTAAGACTAACACCTTGGTAAGGAATATTGAATTTTTTTTTTTAATTTTTTTAGAAGTTAGATTAATCTCAATTCCCTTAATAAGAGTGTTGAGTATGTCAGATTTGTTATTAGTTTCAAGACGAGTGATTGTTTGGGTCAAAAGTTACCTTTTTTATTATCATTGAACCTTTTACAATCGTTTATCGATTACAAACTCAAAAAAAAAGAGAAAAGTTGATATTTTTATAAGATCTTCTTACACAATGAAAAATAAAACATTACAACTTTATCAAACAACACACATAAACTATTTATTAGCTTCTGTTTGCGTGAGATCTTTGCCTATGTCGTGGTTTATCCGTGGATCACCACGGATCAGATCCGATTGATTGGAATAAAAGTTCAATGCTCTTTCTTCACAGAGGACACAATCACAGAAGTAAATAATCTCGACCAAACGAGATTACTACTCTTCTCAAAATTAAAACCAAGTTTGATCCGGAAGAAAGGGGAAAGGGTCTCAGATCTCTCGAACTCTCCTTCTTTATGCTGAAAAACTTCGCCAAGACATGCTAGCCTCTTTGAAATTCGTCAGAACCTCGCCCTAGCTCTTCTGAAATTCGTGGCTCCCTTCAAATCTTCCTTCCTCTAAGTTTGACGTACACCAGAGAAAATAGGTGTACATCAGCGTGCATGGCACATGGTAAGACCCCAAAAACAAAGAAAAGAATGAATGAAAACCCAATGTGAAAAACGATACAACAACAGAAATGACAAAGAAATGTAGAACTAAAAATCCAAAATGTAGAACTAAAAATCCAACAAAATCAACATGCAAATTCACTACTAAAACGTAATACTCATAAGGCTAACAACATATAGTAACATGGTCGAATACTAGCCATCCTAAAACTCACTGGTCTGCATCTCACACAGAGTCATTACTCATATTATCGGATAGCTGACTATTCACAAATCCCCTACTTTCATCCAATATCGCTACATGAATCGGTCAGAGGACTACATGTTATCCGATCTCGGCCTGGTCCGAGCTCAGGCAAAGCTCAGATGACGAAATAGGTCATGGACTAAGGTGACTACACGAATTCACTTTAGCCCAACAAACCAACCCCAATGACTACGCGAATTCATTGGTGTGAGCCTGGAAGATACATCAATAGTCACATCCGATCACATGAACTAAGACTTCCCATACCAACTCTTCTTATTTTTCTAAGTCAACAATCATAATCCACACTAAAACTCGGGTTCACCACCTAAACTCAGTCAACACAATCACACATGTCACTAAGTCTGTTCATGACGCACAAGTTCACTAAGTCATGAACTACTAAGGTTCGCAAACACAACAAGAAGATAATAAATAAAACTAATTCTATACAATAACATCATGTCATATCGAATATATTAAAATAAAGATTGTAAAACATGAAATGTAACTATGAACAGTAAAAACATGCATGTAGTCCGGTTTTATTAATATCTTGTTATTCAAACTTCTAAACTACTCATAAAAATTATCTATAGCTAGATAACATCAAATATAACTACTGTTAAAAGGAAATCAGAAACCATGATTGATTTGCACATGAAATATTGCAGTCTGCAATCATCAACACAAGATCATAAATTAATTTAAATCTAAAAATAAATAATATTTTTGCCAAATAAATTCCTTTAAATCATAATAATTATCAAAAATATAAGTCTTTTGCCAAAAATAATTTAACAACTCAAAATGACCCTTTTTCCGAAATAAATAATTTTAAATTATCTATCGTAATAATTATTCAAAACTAACCCATTTTTCAAATATTTTTTTTCATCATAATAATTCTAAAAATATCTCAAAATAAACTTTTTTACAAAATAATTTTCCTTTAAATTACTTATCATAATATCTTTATTTAATATTAATTATCAACAAGTCCACATAGATAATAACAATATACACTCTACAACATAATCTAAAAATTGAATGACGAGTCAAAGAATATCGGGATCTTGCTTACGAGGCAAATAGCCTGCGGACGAGGTTGTAATGGTGTCGCTACGGATAGGGTATGACGGGTCTGAAGCAATGGCTACGGTGGATCTAGATTGTGATGTCTGCGGGGCCGTTTGGTGGATTCGAGCGGGGGTGAAGGCAGCGGCGTCAACGGAGTTTGTTTGATCTGGAGGGCGTCAGTGAAGGTGGTGACGACAGAGTTCGTCGGAGGAACTCGGTGACGAGGGCTGAAAGGGGTGCACGGGGTGAGTGGAGGAGGAAGCGGGGCTGTGGGTGGCTAGGGAAGATGGTCGGCATCAACTCAGGGGGCGGCGGGTGATTCGTCAGAGAAGAGAGGGGGTAATGCTGGTGGAGGTTTAGGTGTAGGCTGTCTAAAAATCACAAAAGATAGCTGATTTCTGTCAAACCTCAATCAACAATCTTGACTAAGAAAGTTACAATCCAACGACTTTCACGTCAACAAATAAAAACTACAATCATAGGATTTTCACATAGATCTGGAAAAGGTTACAATTTGATGGCCTTCACGATGACTGATGAGAATCCTGATTCAATAGTCTTCACCATCAGCTGTGAGAGTTACAATCCGACGACTTTTACACCCCAAAACAGCTAAAGCGAAGATTACTGAACAATGATCTTTGCAACGCTCTACTGAAGAGGTTATAAGTCACTAGCCCCTTACAAAATACGGAATTCACCTTCGCGTTTTAGTTCTTGAAATGTAGGCAACCCCTGCGTTTCTAACCCTCAGCGAACAAAATGCAAGTGACCCTCTACGTCGCTCGATGAAGGAGAAGATCCATACGGTGAGCGCACTTGTGAAACAGCCAATCTCTTGCCCAACGTTAGGATCACGTTTTTGAGTCCCTACCCGAACGCTTTGTTTCTACCACAGAATGCACACTTCCTAGCAATAAGCCCAATTACGATCCTCGCGTGATACAACTCAAATGTGACCCTCAGTGGCTCATTGTTCATCTAAAACACAGTCCTCAGGAAAGTGCTACCAAAGATAAACGCATATCTCAGGAGTGCGTTCAAATGAAATATGACCCTCAGGGGTCTGTTTCACCAACCAAACGTAACCCTCAAGGGTGCGTTCAGCCAAAACATGGCCTTTAAGGGTCCGTTTCATTAGTCAAACGCACACCACAAGGGTGTGTCCAACCAAAACATGATCCTCGGGTGTCTGTTTCCTCAAGTAAACACACGCCTCAAAAGTGCGTTCAACCAAAACATGACCTCCGAGGACACGTCTCACTTCAGGAACGCGGGCCTCGGCCTTGCGTTCAGAAATCTAAACGCGACCCTCGCATTCTTTCTGCAGAACGCGACGTGGTCTGCCAAGTTCAGAAAGACCAACATGGATTTAGGATTCATGTTTGTCAAGAACCAATCTTACCCACTCAGGGGCAGGGGGTTCCATCTCCATCCTTGCGCTCGGAGAAAGATTCCTCCTACGTTTCTGATTTGCGGGAATTGCTGTGAGAGGAAGACCAACGCAGCAAGCAGCTCATTCATGTCAATGTGAGTGGCTTATTTCTGCAGACCTCTCAGAATGCCACTGTTGTGCATCTGTGCCTCGACAATCTATATTTGACCGATTGGCAAACGTCGCCAGGCCTGCCAAGCGATGACGTCATCACAAAATAAGGATCTCCAAAGCTAAACATCCCGATGTCACTATTAATATGATAGGCAGAGGGAAGGCCTCAGCTCCTAGTTCGGATGAGTCAGAGAGAAGCCATTCCCCGACCGTCCGAGAAATTTGTGACGAGTTTGAAGGAGTATATCGTCGTATGCGAACTCACACAGGAGCTATGTGCTCGGTTAACTATTGCAAGTTAGCCAAGGGGATTGCTTCAGATGATGAACATTCAGCAATTGCAGATTCTCAATCCTCAAGATCCATCGTGGTACACGACACTCTCGCCTATATGACTGGAGGTGTTGATGACTTAGCAAAGAGAGTTGATGAACATCATGTCATGATTCATGCGCAGCAAGAAATGCTTGTTCAGATGAAAGAGATGTTGGCCCAGCTCCTTGCAGAGAAAGTCCAAAAGCATGAGTCTTCTTGGAGGACATTTTCAAAGGGAAAACAGAAGGCACATGAGAATTCAGAACATGAGACTCACAACCTAGAATCTTCATCCAAAAATGAGAAGGAACTAGAAAGGGAACTGAATCCTCAGTCATCTAAAGTAGATGAGTTAGAGGCCCACCTCAACGCAATCGTCAACATAATCGCGCTTCGCGAGGAAGGAGTAGTACGACCTTATCCAGCTGAATGGGACACAACTCCCTATCCGTCGAAATTTAAGGCACCAACCTTGCAGCCCTTCGATGGCACAGGATCACCGAACCAACACATCTACTACTTCAAGTCACAGACTGGAGATGTGTTGGTAAATGATACTATCCTGACCCATTTGTTTATCAGTACTCTTAAGGGTGTCGCTTTCGAGTGGTTTATGAAACTGCCTCCTGGATCTATTCAAAAATAGGTAAATCTGGAAAGTTTTTTCTTAGCCAGATTTTTTGAAGATGATACAGAAGTGTCTGTCTCAACCCTTCTTGCCACTAAGCAGAGGAAGGAAGAGTCCATTAAGACTTACATGGAAAGATTCCGTAGCATGGCATTACGATACCCGTCAGGTAGGACCCAATCTACTTTGGTCGAAACTTGCAGGCATAACTTGCATACTCATCTCCTTGCTCAAATGAGGGTGGCGAAATGTTGCTCCTAGAGATAATTGGTTTCACAAGGGAAACAAGCTAAAGAAATCGTTGCTCGGGTCAAGGCTGAGGAAGCTACTTAACCAAACCACAATAGCAATGCAACCAGAATAGTGCTCTACGATCCAAGGGAAAGGAGACTTTGGCCGTCGATACCAGTACGTGGGCATCACCAGCTAAGCAAGGCAAAGCACCAAATCCACAAAGAGTGCCCAAACAATACTCGTTTAAAGAAGAACATGTGGACACGTTGTTTCAGCTACTTTGGAAGAACAATAAGCTACAACTTCTCTAGATCAGGAAATCGGATGAGGCATAGAAGGTGGACGACCCTAATTACTATCGTTATCATAGGTTCTTAGGACATCCTACCAGAAAATGCTATGTCTTCAAAGATATTCTGCAAAACCTGGTGAATGTCAATGTACTTACGTTGAAGTCCAAGCAGAAGACCATATCCACCAATTTGATAGCGGTCCAGTTCGGTGATTTTTCCCTGGTAGCAACTACAGATGGTGTTGTACCCATTCATAAAGGGAAAATGTACCTAAAAAACACTGACTTACACAGTCAGAAGGATAGGGGGTTGGTACCCCTCACTACCTCAAAAGAGGAGATTATGTGGGTCCATCCCGATCTAGTTGAAGACCAACAGTGAACGAATATCTCGTTCAAAAATTAAAGAGGCAAGGCTAAGTCATCCAACATAATTATCCCCTCCATTAATGATAATGATGATCATCTCAAACCTTTCACTGACTCAGAAAAAAATAGGATTGTTCTTGCAGCATACCCGGGAGGCAACCCTGGCACCTGGTAAGGAAAAGCTTACCTGAAAGACTATGATCATAATGCTCAAGAAGCAGAAGAATAGCATCAAGACGCTGGGGGTTCTATTCCTCAAAAGTCAATTAACAAAGGGAAACAGAAGGAAACCCGTTTTAATAAGAACCTTCTTCAAGAACCCGGGAAATCGAGTGCTCCCTTCCAATTCAACGTCATGGCGCAGTTGGCTAACATACCTGCCAGGATTACCCTGTACGAGCTCCTGCAGTTGTCCAAAACTACCAAGGAAGCTCTAATTGAAGATTTAACAAACACAAAGAGCTTTATTACGCAGATTACTTCGACTCCTGAAGCTTCTGAAGCCTAATCCTGCCTGCAATGTCTACAAGCAGCAAGAAGTCTACCCTGCATATCGTTCACTCAGGATGATATGCAGGTAAAACACAAGCATGATAGACCACTATACTATACATGGTATATTGGGTTCTCCGAAATCAGTCGTGTCCAAGTTGACCCAGGCTCCGCCTTAGCATTATGCCTTACAAGGTCATGCAGGTCTTAGGGATTCCTATGCAATAGTTAAACACTACCCAGACCACCATCTTTCGTTTCAACGCTAACATCACTCGGCCCCTGGGGAAGATCAAGCTCAGGTGTCAAATTGGAGATCTCAAGTCTGAAGTAACTTGTTACTTCATTGATGCGGACACGTCCTACAATCTATTGTTGGGACGACCATGGATTCATGAAAACTGCATTGTTCCATCTATCCTACATCAGGTTATGAAGTATGCTAATAATGAAGGGGAAGTCTGAACCCTGATTACAGAAAAGTACCCTTTCAGAGGGGTAAAAAACTTCCACACAGATTCTATTTTCTACTTGGAATCTCAGCAAAAAGCTGAAGAAGATGTTGATAGTGGCCATGAAGCTAACATCGAGCCAGATTCCGAAGAAGATTGTCCATGAGAGTTGAACTTCAATGTAATGGGTCAGGTTAAGAGAAATAATAATGTACCGAGTGAGGGCGAGTGCTGCATTAATGAAGATTTTATTTTGGCATACTTATATGATGAATCCTCTAAAAATGAAAAAATAGAGAATGACATTAATGCAGGTAATGACCCATGGCGTATATGATGCATAGAGGCATCACTCACATTGCCAATTAAGTCATCCTTCACTTCAGGTGAAGAAATAGAAGATGCCCAGAAGGCTTTCTTCAAAGTTCCGTCCAAAAGGAAAGGGCATAAGCCTATCTATTTTGGAAAAGTTAAACCTGAATTACTCAAACGAGGAAGTTCGGAAGAAGATGATGGGGTTCCTCAATTCCATTTCCATGAACCCAATTCTATCTATTTGATGAAACAAATGGGTTACAACTTTAATAAGAGGCAAGGGTTAAATTTCAGGAAAGAAAGATGAACGCCAATTCAGATGTCATTCACCCCCGAAGAAAAACCTCCCGACTATTATCAAAAGACTGGAAGAGGTGTGGGTTATGTTACAACCTCTTCCCCTTCAAAAAACGAAACTGATAATTACCTGTGTTAAAATCATTCATCCGGGACATCATCGTGGGAATCCGTTGGAATGTCAGATCTTTCTTTAAGAGTTTGACCGTGATCATGGTTTTAACTAGTCACCCAGATAAAGATACAGGGGGTGATGAAGAATTGATCGAATTAACCAATGACCCTTGGATCAAGCACCTTAATATTTTGTGGGATATGCGCTTCGAGCAGCGCGAGCCACCCACTGAAGATAAGGTAATTCAGGTTAACATGGGAGATGAATCCGACCCTAAACTAATCTTCATAAGTGAAAGTCTATCCTCATCTAAGAAAGAAGATCTTCTATCTCTTATTCGAGAGTACATAGATGTCTTTGCTTGGAATTATGAAGATATGCCTGGCCTCGATCCGAAGATAGTTATGCATCGTCTCAACATAGATCCGGACGCTAAACCCGTCAAACAATAGCAACGCCGGTTTTGTCCAGAGATCATACAAGCAATTGAGTCCGAAGTTAAAAAGCTTATAGACTCAGGCTTTGTCAGAGAGGAACAACATCCGGGCTGGGTAGCCAATATTGTTCTAGTGCCCAAGAAGAACGGTAAGGTCTGGATATATATTGACTTTTGTGACCTTAATGCAGCTTGTCCAAAAGATGAATTTTTACTCCCTATCACGGATGTCATGATCGACAAAACCTGCGGATATGAGATGATATCTTTCATGGACGAATTCTCCAGATACAATCAAATCAAGATGTATCCTGAAGACGAAAAGCATACTGCCTTTAGAACACCATTAGGGGTATACTGCTACATAGTAATTCCTTTCGCACTAAAGAATGCAGCTGGTACCTATCAACAAGCAATGAACACAATATTTCATGAGCATTTACGTAAAAAGATTGAATGCTACGTTGACAATATAGCAGTGAAAAACCAACACAAAGGTGATGATCTCACAGACTTGAAGACAATGTTTGACATCATGCAAGCACATCAGCTGAAGATGAACCCGACCAAATCATTCCTCAGAGTATCAAGTGGAAAATTCCTGGGATTCATAGTTATATCTAAAGAAATTTCTCTTGATCCAAAAAAGTGCGTGCCATCCATGACATGCTGCCTCCGAAGAATCTCAAAGAACTCAGAGGTTTACAAGGTAGGCTAGCCTACATTCGAAGATTCATCTCCAACCTCTCAGGATGTTGCCAACCTTTCTCTAAGCTCATGAAGAAGGGAGTATTCTTTATTTGGGATAGAGACTGTCAAAGATCATTTGAAGAGATAAAGAGATACCTCACTCAACCACCAGTTCTTGTAGCCTCGATATCAGGAAAACCATTCCTCTTATACGTGAGAGCCATGGATCATTCTCTGGGAGCGTTATTAGCCTAAAATAATGACTAAGGACAGGAGCAAGCCATCTACTACTTAAGTAGGACCATGATGGGAGCCGAACACTGGTATAATCCTGTCAAAAAACGAATGTTTTGCTTTGGTATTCGCTGTCCAAAAGATGCGACACTACCTGGTTAGACAAACAGTTCATGTTATCTCTAAGATAAATCTTTTGAGAGTACTAATGACGAAACTATCCTCTCTGAATTGCCGGCTAGCAAAATGGACAATCCTCCTATCACAATATGACATGAAATTTATGACCTAAAAGGCTATTAAAGGTCAAGCTTTGGTGGATTTCCTAGCCGATCATTCGGTGTCAGTGACGTCTAAGTTGTATGAAGAACTGCCCGATGAAGTTGCCAAAACTTGCGTAACTCAAAAAGCTATGCAAGTGTGGAAATTTTTCTTTCATGGTGCATCCAGAGCAAATCCTCATGGAGCAATTACCGTGGGAGTAGGAGTAGTATTCATCTCTCCAAATGGTCACGTGATCCCTAAAGGATTCTTCCTAATCGAACCCTACACCAACAATGTAGCTGAGTATAACGCTCTGTTATTAGGGATGCAATTTGCCGAAGAACTTAATATCTGACATCTTGAGGCATACGGTGACTCTCAACTCATCGTAAATCAAGTCCGAGGAGAATATGAAGTGCACAATGAGGACTTACTCCCATACTACTTCGCAGTACTAGAACAAGCTTAGAAATTCGAAGGCTTTTTCATCGGATATATTCTGCGAACTTAGAACACCTATGCGGACGCATTAGCTTCATTGGCATCTTCATTAGCCTTGCCACCTGGGGCTAAAACAACAATTCAGGTCACAGGACGCGAATCGCATTACCCTAAGCTTCTTATAGATGATCGCTCAAACAAGACAACATCAGAAGAAATCTGCATAACCTCAATGGAGTTTGAACCCAGGGATTGGAGATATCCATATATCGACTATGTCGTGTACAGAATTTTGCCCGATAATTCCAAAGAAGCGTCCGCCATCAAACGAATGGCCCTTTGATTCTATTATGATACAGTTTCTCAAACCCTGTATCGTAAATCACACGATGGAGTCTTACTTCGTTGCCTTTCTAGGAAAGAAGTGAAAGAGGCTCTTAAGGAAGCTCATGATGGAATGTGCGGAGCTCATCAACCCGGAGCTAAGTTAGGAGACCGTCTCCGATGAATTGGTTATTATTGACCAAAGATGTTCGTTGATGCGGTTGACTATGCTAGATGTTGTCACGCATGTAAAATTCATGGTGACTTTATTCATCAAGCTCCAAGGAATTTACATCCTATAACTGCGTCTTGGCCATTCTAAATGTGGGGAATGGATATCGTAGGACCAATCTCTCCTCTGACTTCCAAAGGACATCGGTTCATTTTGGCCGTAACCGATTACTTCTCCAAATGGGCGGAAGCAATCCCGTTAAAAGAAGTAAAGACTTTGAATGTGATTAAATTCATCAAGCGTCACGTCATTTATTGCTTTGGAGTCCCGAGACGAATAGTACATGACAACGGAACACAATTTATTAGCTATGGATTTCAGAGATTTTGTGATAAGTTTAGAATCCAAAGTATTGCATCTACGGCATATTATCCACTAGTAAATAGCCTCGCAGAAGCTTTTAACAAGACCATTGTGAAGCTTCTCAAAAAAATTATTTATGTTTGGGTAGAAAATTATTTTCATTGCTGAATTCATTACAACTTCGGGCGTTACAATAAATTCAAAATAAAAATAGTCTTTTTATAAGACTTTCAATATAATAAAAATAAATTAAAATTCTCTTTCAAACAACACACAACAGGTGTTTATCGCCTATTGCTTGTGTGGGGTTTTTGTCTGTGCCGGGGATGTTGATATCCGTGGACGACCACGGATCAAATCTGGTTGCCGAAAAATTAACAGAGCTCTTACTTTACCAAGGAAGTATTCGCTTGAAGCACTAAAATCGACCAAGCGAAATCAATAGCTCTTCTTGAGATTAAAACTAAGCCTAATATCAAGGAGCGAATGGGGGGAATGCGGGTTCAGATCCTTCAAAGCCTTCCTCTTTATGCTGAAGTTCGCTGGGATCTGACTTGCCTTTGCTGTAAATTCATGCTTCTTTGACTCCTCAATCCAGCAACACCTCACCCTCTTGATAATAATTCGCCCCCTGTGAAATGAGCCACTAGGCCTGTATTTATAAGCTTTGGTTGGGGGTATTTGGATAAGAATGAGTGATTTAGCCTTATCTTCAGTTAATAACGACCTAACCATGTTTGTGGATGATATCCAATTAGTTAGGAAGCTCTGGAACGAACAAATCCCAAGAAAACAGTAACAGAACTATCGAAAATGTGTTTGAGGGTCAAAACTACGCGACACGCGCTGCTGACCCACAGGGAGTGAGAATTTGACTTAATTTAGCATTATGACGCCATCTTCAACCAAGGTTTGGATGCTATTTTTGAGAGCAAAGCAAGCCTTGGTAAGATGAAGGACCCTCTTCTAGTACGCATAGTACTTTGGATCCAAAATATTGTCAGCTTCCTCCTGATCTGCTATTGGTGGTAGCTTGATCTTGTTGTTTCCAAGGAGGGACTCGAAAATGATTGGAACATCTTTGTCCTTGAAGGAGTACTCTTTTTAGAGTCTCAGGTCTGAAGTATTTTGCTGTCTTCAGGGTTGTTGTTATGACATCTGATTAATATCAACAACTGCTACAGGTACCTTCTTCTTACCATGGGAGACGAAGCTTGAGTTTGGAGGGTTAGCCGTTGGTTGGATTCTTTCAGCTTTTTTCCTTCTGAGGAAGTGTTCGGCCCGCTCTCCATGCACCTTCAACTCTTTTTAGGTATTGGACGGTGCTACTCCCATAACTTCCAACACGTTCAAAGAGAGGTTATTGTGATAGGTTTAGAGGATAAAGTCCTTTGTGATCGGATCTTGGCAGTTCATCGCCTTATTCTGGAAGCGCTTGATGAAGTCATCAACCGTCTCGTCATATTTCTATTTCTCATCAAAGAGTGTTCTGATTGATATATCGGCGTCATCTTGAAGAAATTGCTGAGAAATAGGTTCTCTATGTAATCCCAACTATTGATGCTCCCCGGTTTGAGACGGTGGTACCAATCGAAGGCGGGCTCATGAAGGGTGCTAACGAATGACCGAACCATCAGGGCTTCATTACCGGAGATCATGCCTAAGTAGGACTTAAAGTAGATCAGATGCTGAGTGGGCGATCCCTTCCCGTCGAATGGTGTGAAGTTGATCAGGTTGAATTTCGCCGGATACGGGATCGAATCCTACTTTATTGGGTAAGGACATAGAATACCGGTCCTCTTCACATCTTGAGGAGATATCAGAGTGTTGATTTTTCTCTCAAGATCTTTCATCTTCTCATCCTCGTCTGTATCATACTTTGGATGGTTTCTAAGAGGAACAACGCAACCACCCCTAACATTGTCATCTTCGACAGGACCACCCCCAGCGTTGTTATCTTTAGTAGGGTTACCCCTAGCGTTTTGATCAATGAGAGGGTTATATGCATTGATGTATTCATCCGCGTCTGAATCGGTAGCTACTTGGTCAACATTGTTGCGATGATTGGATTCACCTATCTGATTTGACAAGGCTCGGATCTGTTGGTCGTGCATTTGTCTCATCTCCTGCACAGTCATTTCCATTTCGATTTTAAATGCTTCTTTCTTCTTGGCTAGAGCACTCTCAACCATTTTGGTACTTCCTCGGTGTGAATCATAAATACTTCGCGGGATTGTCCTGGACTGGATACCATATTATCAGAAGCGATTGTAGAGTTGGTATATGATGCTTCATCATCCGAGAATAATTTGGTATTCATCATCTGATAGTCCCTACGTCTAGTAGTTCCCGTGTTTAATTGAGTTATATGTTGGGATACGTCCAAAAAATGATGGGGACTAAAATTTCGCGTTGACTTCCCTTTATCGGCCATATTGATAGTGACTTCAGGGAATTCGTCATCTTGCGCAGCTGATCTTTTTCTACGAAAATGTCTTGGCTTTGTTTTTGATGCTTCAGAGGAAAGCCTTTAGAATATCGAGACCCTCTGTTGAGTGGTCTTGGGGTAGCTACATACTAATAATACTGCCCTGATAAGTTTAATGCACGGACAATGAAAGTCCATCTCTTGGGTATCCCTCTTTTGAGATCTGTTCGTACCCCCAGCCCGATAGTACAACTCATAGGTATGATGACTGGAGCAATCTACCACATGTTGGCACTACTTCTCAGGTATAACATTGTCATCTGACGAACATGTTTCCTTCTGAGGACTTTCTACCATGATGGTGTTCTCAAGAGTCACACATTTGGAGCCATGCTTTTATGAGCACGGGACCTCAACGAGCTCTTGGGCACTGACTTGTAGTCCGAGGCGGTCGATTACGGGAGTTTCCTCTTTACGAGAAGCCTCAGACTTGTTATAAGGGCGAGTGTGACCCCTAGCTCGATGAGTTGCTTGGGGTTCAGTCACTGGACCCAAACACTCTTTAATCGAAACTTTGCCTCGAACATTGTGTGAAGGGACAAGGCGATCCGCCATTGGCTTATTGCTTTTGAACAAGTCTACACTACCGTGAGGCTTCACTGGAAGTATTGGAAGAATCAGAGTAGGGGTAAACTCGATGGAATCAAAAAAATAGGTGCAGAGTGTGTTCTGTCTTGGCCCTGGCACGGGTCAGACCTTGGTGACCTGTGGTTGGGCGGGTCAGACTTGAGTGGCCCGTGGC